GTAAACCGTAGGCAGAGAGGGAGAAGAGGACAACAAACGAGGGGCTGTGACAAACTGTTTCGTCGGAGTTTCACCGACTCATCAGGAGGCTATATATATATATATATATATATATATATATATAGCCTACGGTTTACCGGGCAGTTCTGTTTGTGACGATATATATATGCTTTATTTATGCAATGTTTTCGGCTCGCCGGACCGTTTTTTGTCGGAACTGAGCAGCACACCGCACGAGTGCGCAGCAAGTATTTGGTTTGTTGTCGGGGTCATGGATAAATCATTGAAAAGTAAGGCGGAATTTACCAGCCTGCTTTTGAAGGCTTGAAAATATGTTGTTGTTCAAAACTGTGCCCTGTGATGAGCCGTTCGACCCCTCCTTGGGAAGCCAGTAGGTTGCCTGAGGTTCCATTTCAATTTAGGATTATAGAAAAAAAGTTAAAAAGCGCAGAGGGCCTTTTTTTTTAATGCTTTAAGTACATGAAATGATGATCGTGTTCCATATGCAAGCACCATAGCATCACATTACTCTGGTCCATTTGATGGCCCCATCCTGCCCCCGTCCTGTCCCATTTCTTGCCACCCATCTACTCCCATTCTGTCCTGTCCATCTTGTCCCATTTTCCTATCTTGTCCCATTTTGTGGGACTCTGTCCCATTCTGTCCCATTGTGTGCCATTGTCCACTCTGTCTCATCCATATTGTCCCATTTTGTCGCACTGTGTGTCCCATTCTGTCCCATCTTGTACCATGCTGTGTGCCATCTGCCCCATTCCATCCCATGCTGTTCCATCTGTCCCATTCGGTCCCATTCTGTGCCATTCTGTCCCATTCGGTCCCATTCTGTGTCATTCTGTCCCATTTTGTCCCATTTTGCCTCATCCTGTCCCATTCTGTCCCATCTTGTCACATTCTGTTCTATTTTGTTCCGTACTGTGTCATTTTGTCCCGTGTGTCCCACAGCGTCACAGGTGCTGCTATTATATCACATGATGATGCGTCCCCTCCTGTCCCATACCTGAAGCCAGGACCGGCTGTGACTAATGGCCTCATGTCAAGCTCATGAAAGCACTGTAGCCGGGTATATCTATGCCGCTGTTTTGTTCCCCCCTCGGAAAATGGGCGCTGCACTAACTGTCAAATGTCAAGTGATTATATGCATGTGCATGCATTCAGGAGGCCTTCCCGTGATTTGAGTGCGAGCGAAGCCACTTGCTTTGGACAGTGATCTTCTTCCATCTAAACCAGGTGTTTCAACCTGGTTTGTCGATGTAAACCTGGTTTGTGTCTGTCTAAACCTGGACTGTCCATCTAGACCTGTTTTTTTGGGTCTAAGACTCTAAACCTGGGTTGTCCATCTGAAGTTGTGAACCTGGTTTGTGCAGGTAAACCTGGTTTGTACATCTAAAGTCTTTTCTATTCATATATGTCAATTTTTTTTTTTTTTTTTTTTTTTTTTTTTAATTTTGGACCATTTCTCGATTTATGCGTGTCATCCTTGCGCAGGGGCCATGCTAATCTTCTCTGTATCATTCCAATTTTAACAGATGTCCCGAAGGACATATATATATGTCAATTTCTTTTCAAATTTCAATGATATTTGTCTGTGAATCTTTAGCTTTTGTTAGTATTTGGAATTTTGGACTACTTGACACTATCTGTACTATTTGTATGGGACTATACTACACTATAGTCTATAGAGGATTTTTTTTTATTTTATTTTTTTGGAGAAAACGGCCCCCTGCTGTGCTAGTGATGCTGGTTGAAACAGGCACCACTAGCACCTGAGGAGAGGCTCCATCTATTGGTGGGGAGCATCACCTGCTGGAAAACGGGTCCAGCGTCCCGTACACAAAACGATTCAGGATGAACTCAGGGATAGTAACTGAGAAAACGTCGCCTGCCAGCCTTGATTACTCTGGTGTCCAGAGGATTAACTGTGCAGGTTATTGAGAAATAGGGGGAAACCTCTTTGCCCTGTATCAGGTGCCAGATACCTGCTGCTAAGAACTAGTTCCTCCCTCCCTCCCTCAGCTGCCCCTAAACCCACCTTGTCTCTAATGTCGTCACCCTCCCTCCCCACTTTCCATCCCTGTTCCTCTCTAATCAGAGACCATCTATAGAGGAATTATTCTAATGTATGAGCTCTTTGAATAGACGCAGGTATAATAGTACTTTATTTAAATTTTAAAATTTTATTCATTTCAATATTTTATTATATTTCTAGACAAAAGAACTTTATTACAGACATCATTGTTTTGAAATTTGAATCTGCAGCCTGAAGACTTCAGTCCACGTTTTCATCTGCTGCAGGTCTATCCTCCTTTGGGTTTTKAAGAACTTTTGAAGGGCTCTTTTYYCCTTYYCCCCCCCCCCCCCCTCCCTGCCCCCCTGCCTTTTTAATCTTTTGTACATCTATTGCTCTTCTGGTTTTGGAAAAAATTCTTGTGAAGAATCTGAAGATGTTATTATTTGTTGATTTCTCTGCTCTGATTCTTGTCTCTTTTTTCCTATTATGTGCTCTCTCTCTTCTTTTTGCTATTATGTGCTCTCTCTCTCTTCTTTTGCTATTCCCATTTTCCCTTCCTGTCATGAACAAATTCAGAGCTTGTGGCAGATGCCCTTCTCTCCTTACTCCAGGTATCTTTCTCTAACCTTGTGGCCAACTTGCTGTCTAAAAAATTGGGAAATCTAAGTTCAAATTGACGAATTCCAATTTTTAAGTTTCAAATTTTGGACTTTCAAATTTTGAAATGAAGCCAAGATTGCTTCGCAGGTCTGAAAATATCTGACAATGCTGCCCAAACTTGCATGGGTGCAAGCAAAGCAAGTAAAGAGAGGCATTAGAGCAAGCATCCTGTCCCCTTCCCCCCACCTCCCTCCTTCCCCCTTTCACCCCCCCTCTCGCCCACCCTTTCACCCCCCCGTCCACATCCCTGGCCCCCCCTCTCCACCCATTCCCCCTCCCCTTTCCAAAGTAAAGTGACTGTTGCCTGCAAACAAGTAAAGAGAGGCATTAGAGCAAGTTATAGCCGGCATCGTCCAGCTTGCAATTCTTCTCCTCCAACTTGCTATTGTCAAATGGACGGGGGTGGAAGCAGAATCCCTCTGTAAGTCGCATTATTTGCTGTAGTGCTCACAGGGAAAGCCACGGGCACATCGACAGTGGGTAGACCGGCTGTCGACCTCCACACCCACACCATACAGCAAGGCTGCCATGAGCTGCTTGTGATGGCCATCCCTATCGCAGCAATACATACATGTAATGCTGTGCATGCCTGTGAGTGCTACTGAACCTGCTACCGAACCATGAGATTCGGTACGTTCGTTACCAGGTCCGGTACCAGGTTCGGTACCAGGTTCGGTACCAGGTTCGGCACCAGGTTCGGTACCGGGTTCAGTGTGTGCATGAGTGATCGATCAACTGACTAACTGAGTGTGTGTGTGACAGCGAGAGAGGAAGACCGCAGCACTGCATTGGTGATTCACGAGGCCAGCAACACGTCAGCCTCGGTCAGTTGACTCGGTTCATTGTCATCATCATCATCATTGTCATTTGCTGTTGTTGTTGTTGTTGTTGTTGTTGTTCTTGTTCTTGTTCTTGTTCTTTCTTCTTCTTCTTCTTCTTCTTCTTCTTCTTCTTCTTCTTCTTCTTCTTCTACTACTACTACTACTACTACTACCACTACCACTACTACTACTACTACTACTACTACTACTACTACTACTACTACTACTACCACCACTACTACTACTCTTCTTCCCCTCCTCCTCCTCGTCCTCCCATGTGCATGTCTTCCATTTGACCACCTCCACAGACATTTTGATAAGCCTGTACAGCTACATGGTGGGTGCTCATGGTAAGCTACCGAACCTGCTACAGAACCAGCAGGTCCTCTGACGCATGGCTGCATGATTTACCATGCTGCACGTCCGCTAAACGACCTACCACTTACTGCTGAGTTGCAATGTCCCTTAGTCGTCGGCTTCTTGGAAAGACCTTGGCATTGGCTTGTTTTCTGAAGAATAGGCAGGGGACAGCTGTAGGATCTGCATGGTCCTCTTGAGTCCTATTCGTATCTCTCTGGCTGCCGACTTCAGGCACCAAAACTACCTCTTGAGTTATTATAGGTAACAAATACAGTTAATTGTAACTGTATTGTGAATCAAGTCGGGAGTTGCCCAGACACTCCTTATAAATCTACAGCTTGTCAGATGACTCTCTCTGGATTTTTGTTGGTTGTGATATTTTCTGATAAGATTGGTGATAGTAGAACGGCAGCGTTGGTAACAGCTGGATACTCGTTCATTTCTGACACTGCTTTTCAATCAAAAAAGGAAGTGTAATTGAGGGGGTGCAACATTTCCAAGCTTCTGAAGGAATAGGGGGAATATGTTGGTGGAATTAGAAGAAGAAACAAGAAGAAGAAGAAGAAGAAGAAGAAGATGGGAAGAAGAAGAAGGGAAAAAAAAGGGAAGAAAAGACGAAGCAGAAGAATGCTGATGATGCATTGATGTGTCCTAAATGGATGGACTGCTCTGTGTCTTCTGCATTATGTGAAACAGTACGTTGGGCAAACTCAAGTGCAACCTTGTGGTTCGTCTGCATCTGCTGATTTGGAAGCAAAGACAATGTTTCGCGCTTCAGCCTCTCTCGCTGAACTATGCACTGAGCATGCTCTTGCCGTGGGCCCAAATGGCATAGTTGGGGTGGATGTGGAGGGCTTGGATTTAGGAGTAGATGCAGATGGGTTGACTGATGGGGTGGATGCAGAGGGGGTGGATGCCGACGGGGTGGATTCGGATTTGGATCCGGATGGGGTGGATGCAGACGGGGTGGATGCGGACGGGTTGGATTCGGATCCGGATGGGGACGGGGTGGATGAGGACGGGGTGGAGGTAGAGGGAGTGGATGAAGAGAGGTCGGCTGCAGAGGGGTTGGACGCCGAGGGGGTGGGTGCTGAGGGGGTGGATGTGGAGAATCATGGCATCTTTTCTAAAGATGTAGATGCAGATGGGTTGGCTTTAGACGGGGTGGATTCGGATTCGGATGGGGTGGATGCGGTCGGGGTGGAGGTAGAGGGAGTGGATGAAGAGAGGTCGGCTGCAGAGGGGGTGGACGTAGAAGGGGTGGGTGCTGAGGGGGTGGATGTGGAGAATCATGGCATCTTTTCTAAAGGAGCAGATGCAGATGGGTTGGCCTTAGACGGGTTAGATTCGGATCCGGATGGGGTGGATGCAGACAGGGTGGATGCGGACGGGGCGGAGATAGAGGGAGTGGTTGAAGAGAGGTCGGCTGCAGAGGGGGTGGACGTTGAGGGGGTGGGTGCTGAGGGGGTGGATGTGGAGAATCATGGCATTTTTTCGAAAGATGTAGATGCAGATGGGTTGGCTTTAGACGGGGTGGATTCGGATTCGGATGGGGTGGATGCGGACAGGGTGGAGGTAGAGGGAGTGGATGAAGTGAGGTCGGCTGCAGAGGGGGTGGACGTTGAGGGGGTGGGTGCTGAGGGGGTGGATGTGGATAATCATGGCATCTTTTCTAAAGGAGTAGATGCAGATGGGTTGGCCTTAGACGGGGTGGATTCGGATCCGGATGGGGTGGATGCAGAGGGGGTGGATGTGGACGGGGTGGAGGTAGAGGGAGTGGATGAAAATAGGTCATCTGCAGAGAGGGTGGACGCCGAGGGGGTGGGTGCTGAGGGTGTGGATGTGGAGAATCATGGCATCTTTTCTGGCAGTGTCATTGAAGAAGAAGGAAACATTGCCCAGAAAACGTCAACAGGCGATGAGGAGGGTGGGCACGGGACCGAGGATTTCGTGCCACTGGCTCAACTATCCACACAAAATAGGCGGCAGAGGACAGCAAAAGAAGCCCTGAACGATATTTCTTCAGTTCTGATGACAAAAAACAGAACCCCGATCGAATGGCAAGTTGCTCCGAGGAACAAATCCCGGAAAGGAGCCAAATGCAACCGCAGGGAAAGTTCTGATGAAGATGAGTCGACGGACAGTTCGGAAGATAGCGAACGGGATTGGGAGCAACCGCTGAAGGGAAAAGGTGGCAGTAAAGGAAGGACAAAAAGGAAAGAGTGTGAAAGTAAACAGGACGGCAGCGCCAAAGGGAAGTTGGCCCGCCTAAAACGGAAAGGTGCAGAATCTGGAGCAATAGTAAAGGGATCTGCAAAATTGATTGGCGAGGGACTGCGTGAGCAAAGAGGAGAGAAGAAGCCCAATGCGCAATGCAGGTCTCGGAATGGAAAAAGGCGCATACAGAGTGATGGCACCCCTGATACCGAGCCTGCCACCGAACCTGCTGACAGCTTGGAACATCAGCCATTAAAAAAAAAGCGACGGAAAGTTCCTCATGGTTATAAACGATCACTTGCAGAATCTGACTTTCGACGAAAGCGCGAAGAACTCGGTAAGGGGGCTTGTTCAGCCCTATTATTCTTCACTCTCCGTTCTGCAAGTCATCCTTTTTTCTTTTCTTTTTTAAAAATAATAAAGTTAAATAAACCAACAATTTTATTACCACATGAACATTTGGAGGCCGGGAATCCCTCCACATCTCAACCCGGACTGCTGGGCCCATGACCCAGCTTCGGCTTTCCTGGAAACCGGGTCTATTGCTGCACCATTCAATTGCTGCCATAATTTTTATTTTTGAAAGGACTGACAAAAAGTTTGAAAAATAAAAACTGTGGAACCTTACCCTTGTTGCTTTTCTAACAGCTGAAGCCTGTTCTGACATACTTATCTTCAAGACTTCAAGTCTTCAACCCATACTAAAAGACTAGTAAAAGTCTAAATTTCTCTAAAACCCTAAACCTTCTTAACCCCCAAAGAAAACGTACGTACATACGTACCTTGTATACGAATACAAGAATACAACGTACGGGGTACGATATATATTATATAATTTTATATTACAATAAAACGTACATACTACTATGTGGTATGTACGTTATATAATGAGTTTTAGGGTACCATACAACTTTTCGGAAACCTGTAGGACCGCCATTTCTTTTTTTTTTATCGAATTTGATTGGGAATTTCGCCAAGACCCTCAGGCAAAAAAGTTGTTTCATTGCAATTTTTATGAAACGTGCTTATTTTTCGGATTTTTTATGATTTTTTTGAAAATCGAAATTCTGAAAAATGTTCAAAAATCAGTAAACATAATGTCCCTGCCATAAAATATATATATTTTTAATATTTTCTATCCTCGTTTTTATTTTTTTTCTCGAATTTGGTTGCGAATTTCGCCAAGACCCTCAGGCAAAAGTTGTTTGCATTGCAATTTTGTAAGGTTTATTTTTCGGAGTTTTTATGATTTTTTTGAAAACCGAAATTCTGAAAAATCAGTAAACATAATGTCCCTGCCGTAAAATATATATATATTTGACGATATATACAGGGTCACCAGCCCGTACGTACGGAGGTCCCCGGGCTGACCTCCGTACGTATGGGCGTTCGGGGTCCCGTACGGGGTCCGAACCCGGCGGCGTTCGGCCCTCGCCAAAAGTTATTTCTGGGCCTAAAAATATATTTTTTTTTCTGAATTTTTTTTTGTGAGTTCTCTATGACGTGAGGTACCTGCCTATAAATTTTCGAGTCATTTGGCTCAGCCAAATAGGAATTAAAAATCGCCAAAGATGGCGGTGTCAAAACGTGCTCGCCCACATTTTTTTTCACTTTTTACTTTTTGTTTTCACTTTAGTTCGGGGTCTTAACAATTTTATTATTTTTTGAAACTTTTGCAAGGAACATGAATATGGACGAAGCACAGAAATCCAGATTGCAAAATCACACTGAAGTAGTCAAAGCAAGAGCAGATAGCATAATGGAACCGAGTAACCATCCATTTGAGAACGATACAGAAGAATCGTGAGTCAATGTCCAAGCCCAACAGGGCAACACCAACAGCATAACCCAATGTAGCTCTCTCTCTTGAATGGCGCCAGGTGCCCTACCTACTCTACAGCCTATCACTACAACTACAGTATGAAAGCAACCAGACAACACCAATGCCGACCTCCCATCTCCACCAGGTACGTCTCTCTCTTCACCCTCACTCTCCCTTGTTATCCCACAGCGCCCTTCACCTCCGAAGAACCACCTTCGCCCTTCCTCCTCTGCGCCCACAGGCAGCCCGGCTATGGCCGCCARCGCCCTGCGCCCAGGCAGCGCTCTACYRCTTAGCGCTTGCCTGCCTCTACCTCAGCCTAGCGCAGCGCAGCACCTYGCAAACGCGCAGCGTGCCGGCATTGCCCGCAATGGCCAAGATCCCTGCCCACTCGCCCTCCCTGCCTATATGCCAGTGTTGCGTGTGGGCGGCCTCCCTTGAGCCTGTGCCTGGGCCCCAGTACCTGTACCCAGGCCCGATGGGGGTTGGGGCCCAGGAGATGCAGTTGCGCCTCTTTCATCAAGGCCTGCGGCCAGATYCAGATAGTGGACCGGTTTCCCATTGGCATTTTMGGCCTCTATATCCAGCATGCATTGTCGGCCTCACRTTTATGTGCCCAGGGCCTAACCAACTCTGGGGCCCTGGGTTTCTGCATTTGCAGAGCTCCGATACTCGGTGCACTCCAACCAACTGGCGTGCTGCAACTGTATGGACCCCACTTCGTGAAATGTTTGCTCAGAGGGCTCTTGTTGATTTGCTGGCCCGCCTTCACTTAGGGTGGGCACGAGGCTTGCTGGGGCCTTAGCCCAGAACATGTACATCATGGCAAGGCCCCTTCTTGAGGGCTCAATCCTCACATTCCATCCCCCTTAGCTTCGAAAGTCCGCTGAGATGCTTACTTCGCAGGTGCCTTCCCGTTTAACATTCTCTCATATTCTGCCACCACTTGAGGAGCTGTGTCAATCAGTTCCTCTCTGGTGAACCTGTGATAAGCTCAGATCCGTACCGCGCGGCTTGCCGTATCCCTGAGGAAAAATCCCACGGAAGCCCCGAAGTACGGACGCAGATAAAGATGGGTTTTTCTTTCTTTTTGCTTTTGTTTTCTTTTTAAAAGACGGCTTTTTCATTTTGTTTGGTTAATAACTCCCGCGCGGGCGAATAGCGGCCGCGGTGTGAAAAGCAAGAAACAGTTTCGGTTGGGACCTTTTTTTTTTAATTTTTGTGCGCGCACGCCCAAGCTCCGATTTCTTTTCGCGCGTCTCACATCCCCGTTTCTTGCTTTGCATCCCCGCGCCATCTCCCCTTCTTGTTGCGCGCATTTTCCCCATGCCGGACTCTTCATCTTCCCCTCCGCCCAGCTCGATCCCTACCCCGCGAAGTGATTGGCCGCGTAGTTGGGATGCTCGGATCAATGTGGAGAGCGGGAAACCGCGCGCCACTTGAACGGACACCCCAATCACGTAGGACCATGCCATCCCGCGTGTCGAACCCTCTTAACTCCCCACCTTCCTCCTGTCCTGCTCATCTACAACCTGCGCTGCCCGCACCTCGCGCTGACAACCCGCCGCCTCCCGCGCTATAAATTCGTGCAACCCTCTCCTCTCTCTCTCTTTGATCACGGCTGCAATGCTGCGCGAGCTATGCGCGAGAGTCCGCGACGCCGAACAGGCTTGACGAGCCCAAGGACGGGCGGAGTGACGACGTGGGGTGGACCCCGCGGTAGTCTCGGGGCGAAGCAGTCGGAGGGACTGAGCAGTGGTGGGGATTGGACG